CCGCATGAAGAAGCGCGTAGACAAAAGGTGCCGCGCGGCAAGAAAATCCTAATTACTGAATTCCTAAATTCCTATCTAATGCGAAAAAGCAAAAAACACGAACTTCAGGGGGAAAGTCCGAAATTCCGAGAGCTATCGGGGCTCGACAAAATTCGAATGAGATTCAAAAGAAAATTCAAAAAGAACGAAGCAAATTCCCGCGCGATGTCCTCGCCCAAAAGATCGAAACCGAAACGAAAAAAACGTCGTCAACATTTATTAATCGCGCGCGCGGTGGCGCGCCAGCCATCCAGCCGACCAATCAATCAACCGACCATCCCTGGACACACCCAACTCCGAACCCTGCCCTTCGAAAAGAAGCGACGAAAAAGACGAAAAAGCAAGGATACTGATGCAATTTCCCACCGATCCCGACCTCTCGTAACTGGCCCAATCTTCCCAACTTAGGACCCCTCATTGCAACCGCGCAGAAAATCGCGCGTTTCAGAAAGTGGTTCGTCACAGATGTGACGCCCAGGGGGTTCCAATATTAGCAAGTTCCTGCTTGCTTGTCGACACGTGTCAATTTCTCTAATCGATCGACACACGGAGCACTTCTCTCTATGCCACTTACTGTTCAATTGTGTGTGGACGTCGTCCAACGTGGCAACATGGCTCTTCTACTAATTCCTCAAATTGGGCTCTTGACGATCCAAGGACGGGATCTTTCTCGTGCCATCACGGCGACACGCATCCATTACCGCTGCATCAGTAATTAACCGGGAGGGGGAAAGGAAGGCAATACGCGTATGAGGGAGGGTGAGGCGGCTCCATCGTTAGTTTGGGTATGAAGCACCCGATCGCGATGAGGTCGTAGGGAAGATTTTGAAAGCGGATGATGCGATGGAAGCGGGGGAATTGTTGTCCGCTGCGGGGAAGGGAAGCGAGGTAGTCTGGGTAAAGGGAGACGAGGGTTCGAAGGACGTCCGTGCGGAACCGATCATGGTCTTCGCACGCGGGGAATGTCCCCGTGACGATGCAGTAAACCTCTATGTGGTTACGGCCTCGCCACGCGGTGCTAAGGAGTAGAACGTGGAGGGGGTAATCGGGGACGGCGCACCGAACAGAAGGGTGGGGATGGACAGTCAGCTCTAGGCGGGCGGAGTAGAAATGTCGGAAGGTGGCGATGGGGAAGGGATTACGGGGGAAGATGACGCGATGAAGATACTGATTGAAAGAGAGATGGCTAAGGGGACGGTGGTATATGGATCGGGGACAAAGGGCGAAGCCCCTCATCGACACGTTGACGAATTGGGGGACGGGCGGAGGCGGAGGGGGATGAGGATCGGGATCGGGGTCGGCGCCTTGTCGTCGCGACGCTTGAGGTCGTGGCAGCAAGGTCCCCATGTTCCGGCTAAGGCGGCTCGGGATCCTTGGAAGGATCGTTCGGTGTGGGGTCGATCACTGGCCATTTTCCCTCCGCGACGTTCTTCTTGTGCTGCGCAGCGGCCTAAGGATTCTCCTCTCGACGATCCGGTTTTGAAACCCACTCGAGTTCATCGTCGTGCGCTAGCTCCCGATCGTCTTCTCCGCTTCCCACTCCCTCGTCGTCGTCTTCGCCCTCCTCCTCTTTACTTTGCTCCTCCTCACTGTGCTCGCTATAGGCTTCCTCTTCTTCTTCCGAAGTCTCCCCCTCTGCTTCTTCTTCTTCTTTGTCCTCGGCTTCCGCCGCTTCTTCTTCTGCTTTGCGTTCTTCTTCCCCGTCCTCGGCCAACTGGGACGCTGCTTCCCCGGCCTCTCTCCTTAATTCTCCTTCCGTAGCAGATTCGTTAATGGTCGTGCAATCGCGGCGAAGCCCTTGATGAAGCGTCGGTAGTACAACGCTAACCCCAAGAAGGCTCGAACCTGTGTCAGTGACGTGGGAACCGGGGCTTCCTTCACTGCTGCAACCTTTCTTGAGTCCGGTCGTAGTCCTCCACGTGTCACGACGTAGCCCAATAACGAAATTTTCGAGAGGAAAAATTCGCTCTTCTCGAGCGCAATCTTGAACCCAGCGTCTCTCAACGTGCCCAATGTCCATTCGATATGTTGCGCGTGTCCGTGATAGGTTTCCGAGTAGACCAGTATATCGTCCATGTACACAATCACGCAGAAGTTAATCATCCCTTGTGTCAGTCGTGTCTTGTTGACGAAATTCTAGAACGTCATGTTCATCGCGCGCTGAAACGTGGCAGGCGCATTGCAAATCCCCATCGGACACCGAACCTACTGCCATGTGCCTTCAAACAACACAAAGGCCGTCTTCGGCCGATCTTCCTCTCTCACCAGAATGTGATGGAAACCATGCCGAATATCAAACTTGCTAAAATAATTAGCACATCCAATCGCATCTAGCATATCATCAATTCGGGGGAGGGGGTACACATCTTTGATCGTGATCTCATTCAGCTTGCGATAATCAATGCAAATGTGAATCGCTCCGTTTTTCTTCGGTACTAACACTACGGGAAATGACCAAGGTCCGGTGGCGGGTTCAATCCAGCCGTTGGCTTCGAACTCCCGAATTCGCTCGAGAGCATTTTTGTGCTCAATCAAGGAATACCGGTAGGGTTTGCAATGAATTTGGGAGTGATTTCCTGTCTGAATCTCATGTTGGATTACTAACGATAAACCAATGTTAGTGTTTGTCACACTAATCGCTCTTTGGTATTCCGTTAGAATGTCCGCAATCACCCGGTGGATTTCATCCGGTACGTACTGTGGAACGTGTAGTTCGAAAAGTTGGTCCCAGATCAGAACGTCAATCTGTTTCGTGCGCGCCTGTTTTGCCACATCGGGGGGAGGCGTCGAGATGAACGAATGGTCCAATCGCCAGGAGAACACCGTGGCCATCATCTGGGCATCTTCTTCCCGGATTGCCACGTGTCCTTCCGGGGTAATTCCGTCATGAATATTCTGCCATGGCACTTTCTTAGTTACGATCTTTATCCCCAATTCGTTTGTTTCTGCTTCTAGACTCCTAGGGGGTTCCAGAGAACTTGCTTCCGCCCCCAAGCGTAACAATCTCACTTCTTTAGCATATGTAAATAAGGACTTGGGTAGATCCGTAATGTCACAGTAATGCTTCTTGTCGTTATACCGGGCGAGGAGAGGGGTGATTCCTTCGTACAGAGTCTAAGGGGGGTTCCAAAGAATCGACCATCCTCGAAATCTGCACGAGGGGCTCACCCCATCGCCTTGGTCCTTTGAATTTTTTGGCTGGTCAGTTGCATCGTTCTTGCTATCGTTTTGGGCAGTGGGTAATAAACGCGCTGTCGTGCTAATTTCAGGATGTCCGGATCATCTTCATCACTACTGTCCGCATCATTCGTTGATGACTTTTCATCGGCGGATTCATCCCAAGAGATCATGCGGAGAGTCCCTGCCATCATCGGCGAAACCCGTGGGACCGTGTTAATGGTAGTACGAAGGGTCAATCGCATGGGCACGACGTAGGGTTTTCCTCCGGTATTGCGAAGGATAATCGATCTTCGTTCGAAATCCAAGTTTGCTCGTAGAGCCACAAGAGCGGGAAGTCCGAAAAGAACGCCGTACGTATTAACGTCTAGTACTACGACATCTCCAAGCGCGTGCACTTTTCCTAATCGGAAAGCGACATTGGTCATTCTTCCCACGGTCTTGATCTTCTCTTCATCTGCCGAAACGAGCTGATCTTTCTCAGTGAGCATGATCAGATCGTTTTTCCTACCTGCCCTTTTGACCACTCTCAGTGAAATAGCCAGCACCGCTGCTCCCGAATCTATAATTGCGTAATAAGGAATTCCCCAAATTTCAATATCGCATTCTGCGGATTAGCCACGGAATTGGTTTAATCCGCAGGAAATGGTCGTCTTTCTGGATTAAACCTACCTCTATTGGATCCGAAGTGTTTGTTGGGTTTTCTTCAGGCGTGGGGTTTTTAGCTTTTACGTTCGGTGCTCGGGCGAGGGCGAATCGCTTTCGGTTCGCTTTGCAATGTTGTAGCATTCGCTCATTGGCTTGTTCAGAGATCGAGAGTAGATGGCCGATCGGAAGTGGAATCCGATGGTCCAAGGCTCAGACGATGTTTTATACGTCGATTTCTTCTGTGACGAAGGTGGGTCCTCCTGACTCCATTTCTCCTGGAGAAGGTCGCCACTCCGCCACCTCTTTCGGTTCTGGCGCGGGCCTGATTGTTCCGATCATATCCAAGCCCGGGATAACCAAGTGATACGTACTGGTCTAACGGGATTAGCTCGGCTGCCTCTTCCGTGGTGGCTAGGGCGCTTCCCCCACCCTCAACTTCTTCCATTAAAGCTCCGACTCGTCCTGGTCCGTTAGCGATGGGGGCAGCCGCCATCGGTGCGACCCCGATCCGCTGTTGCGGGGGTCGGTGGGGGCAATCATAGGCTAGATGTCCTGGCTGATGACAGGCATAACAGACATTCAGATTATTCGCGGCTCCCCCGAGAGCAGGTGCCGGGGCTAATCCTTGCTGCATCGGAGGGGCGCGCACCGCAATAGGCCACATGTTCCTCATCATGGCTTCCAGTCGAGCATTGTGCTCTCGCTGCTCCTTTTTTATTTTCTGGATTAAACTAATCAATGTTTTGGTTAGTTCGAAAATGGCCGCTGATTCGTTCGATCGTACGGGAGCCTCAATTGGTGGCAGGGGTAACGCTCTGACGGGTGGGGGTATCACAAGAGCGGAGGTGCTCGGAGTCTCACTTAGAGTTACTCGTTTGGGGCCTATCTGTTCCATATAGGTGACAGATCCTGATACAAACCCCATGTTTTCAAACTTGTTCTGCAAGGCGGCCAGCTCAGCTCTCGCTCGTGCAAGTTCGGTCGAATCTCCGTCTCTAGGATAATTTTCCCCTTCCAAGAAGTTCGCTGCGAACTTCCGTTCCATTTCTTCCGCAACAGCCATGAATTGTTGCAGCGTGTGAGTGATGGGGGAAAATTGTTTCCGCAACTTAGCCCTTATCGTTCGGCTGCGAAGCCCGTCAATGAACAGATCTCTCCCTACTTGCTCACCTCGCTCAGTTTTCACGAGCATTCTGTAGAACCGGTTTCGATATTCTGCAACGGATTCGAGCGGTTTTTGCACTCGGTCCTTGATCATGTACAATGCTTGCTCGGGGTGAACATAATCAAATCGGTTCATGAAATCCCGCTCGAAGGTTGGGAGATCAACCCATACATAGGTATTATACCAATGATGAGCGTCTCCTCCCATTCGAGCCGGAATGTTGATCTGTGCTTCGTTATCATCGTACTGCTGTGCTCTAAGCGTGGCCAGCCATGCTCCTGCGAGATGGTGCGCCGGATCAAATACATAGAGATCAGGTGGCGTCATGAGAACTCGTGCACGTGGGGCGCGTTCAATCGGTGGATTAGCATTTTGTTGCTGAATCGGGTTTTGCACATTGGCTGCCATATTGGCTGCTCGTCGGTTAGTCGATCTGCTTCAAGTGACGATAGGGTCGCGTCTATGTGCATTCCGAGGGCGAGGTCACCCACGGTTAGCCAGGTCGCCCAATTAACGTGCTATCAATCCTAAGACCCTAGCCACGTGTCGGGCTCCGATACCAACCTCACGCCCGGCGCGACTTCTTGATTGGAGTGGGGTGTGAGCCTGGAAGTGCGAGAAGGGGTGTGCCAAGGATTTTTGGGAAAGTGAGGGAGTCTGAGGGGTATGAATGCAATTAGGCGAACAAGGGGCTCGTGCGCAAGGGACTCAAGGCCTGATGGGGCCGGGGTATTGCGGGTGACGATTTACGGGGAAGTTCCTCCGCGGAGGAGGCGGCCTCGAAAAGTTGGGCCGTCGGGGGCCGCCACGTGGCACAGGCCGCTGCGTGTTTGGGTTGGGCCTTTGGAATTCTGGGGTTCTCCGTTTGCCGCTACGTCAGCAATTCCCGCAAGGCGTGTTGGGCCAATAGGGGGCTCTGCCCGGCCACGGAACGACGCTGAGTTGATGATACGGGAGAAGAAGGCGAAAAGGAGGGAAACTGGTGGTGATGACGACGAATCCCGGGTGGATGAAG